AAAGAAGCTTTCTGGTTTTAGGAATAAAAGAAGGAGGAGGGGCCAGCGGAATTGACTGAAAAATATATACAAATTTAGGTAATATAGTCATCTTTACTATGTTTATTCTTCCCAGTAAAGAGAGCGGCAGTGTTGTCCATCTATGATCTCTTCCGAAACCTCTACTACCATGGGCTCATAACTGGCTGAGCTAAGATTACTTATCTTTGGAGTTATTCTGATGCCCAAATATTTAAATCCCTCTGTGGCATTCATAAATGGGTGTGATATTACTGGTTTCTTCCTCTCGTTTACATTTAAAAACATAATAGATTACTTTTCTTTGTTCACTTTGAACCCAGAGATACTACCAAAATGATTGAACAACTCCAAGAGAGATGGTATCAATTCTGCAAGATGTGATAAAAACACAATAGTATCATCAGCGTACATTGCTGTATTGTGTACCATATCCCCGGCCTTAATACCACGGATTGAGGTTTGTGATCTAATTGCTATTGCTAAAGGTTCCATGGCTATTACAAAAAGTAGAGGTAAAATTGGTGACCCTTGCCTTGTACCTCTAAAAAAATAACTGAGAGATGAGGTTATTAGTAGATACCATTGCAGAAGAATCAACAAGTAAAATTTAGACCCATCTATGAAAGTAATCACCAAATCCAAAACGCTTAAGCACCTCAAGTAGATAGGGCCTTTTCCGCGTCGAGTGATAATATTGCAGTATCAGGGGACTATTATTTCTGTGGGATCCATAGATAATTATCCTTGTTCGTTCCTAATTATATTAATAGGTCTGTCAGATTCAAGTTTCTTTATCTGCCAAGCTAGCAGTTTACCCAGCTTTTCACCCTGATCATAAAAAGTTTGTTTCAATCTTTTTAGACCATCTTCAGCCTTAAGCATAGAAAGCTCCTCGTATTTAGCCTTAAGGATCAGTAATTCCTGTTTTTTTTTTTGTTGAATCAACTATGATAACTGCTCTCTAATTCTCTAATTTTAGCATCTAATTCTTTCATTGTCTGTTTGAATTTGTTAAATTTAAAGCTGGTGAAGCTTATCATTTGTCCTCTAATATATGCTTTAAAAGCTTCCCACCTAATGGCTGCAGTTGTTTGATTTGTATTTATTAAGAAGTATAAATCAATGTGTTCTCCTACAAATTTTATAAAGTCAGAATCTTGTATCCATTTAGGGTGTAAGTGCCAATTAGCAGAGCGTCTATTTAATTGTTCCACATTGTAAAATAGTGATGTTGGGGCATGATCTGACAAAACAATACTATCATATATACAATTAGTTATACTGGGTAGCAGAGATGAGGAAATTAAAAAATAATCTATTTGGGAGTGGGTTTTAAATACTGCTGAGCAGCATGAGAATTCCCTTTTGTTAGGGTTTTGAGTCCTCCACGGATCACAGAGGTTCAGGTCTTTCATATATTGTTGTATTTTCTCGTTTGAGAATGGGATGTATCCATCCCTGACGAGGGATCAAGCTTCAGGTCTAAAGCACAATTTAAGTCACCTGCCAATATTATCTTACCCGGAAGGGTGGCCATCAACAGAAATAAATTCTCAAAAAATGATGGGTTATCATCATTGGGGCCATATACATTAACCAAATTGATATTTTCTTTCAAGAGAGTTCCTTGAACCACCAAAAATCTACTAGCTGTATCATAAATAGTGTTGTTTACTTGGAAAGGCACTGAATTATGAATTAACACCATAACCCCTCTCGAATGAGAAGGGAAACAGGATGCTAGCACTTTGCCTGGCCATCTCCTACATACTTTCACCAGGTCCTCTCTGAGTAAATCAGTCTCTTGGATAAACACTATTGATGACTTAAGTTGTTTAAGCCTGGTAATAACCTGTTTTAGTTAAGCCAACTTTACCATTCCTCTCACATTCCAAGAAGTACTTACTAGTAATTTAAAATTCTTAGTTGAAGTCATCTAATCTTAATAATATAATAGATTGTGCAGCATAGCATCAACTTTTAGTTGTTGATAAACCTTTTGAGTATCTCTAGTGTTGTATTGGGAGTACACCAGCAAAATGCAACATGTTGTGAAAAATACAAAAACACAAACAAAAAACTTAAAATCTGCCATAAACGAATCCCCTTAGCTGTCAACCTGAACAGGACAGCCCCTCACCCTACCCTACCCTCCGCCTGACCTTGGGGTGCAGCTAAGTGCACACACTGATCCAATGTAAACAAGGGAGCAGCTAGACCAAACCAAGCAGTCATTATAACAGAACAAAACAAAACTAACAGGACAATTGTGTCCCCTGGCAAAAGTATATAATCTACACAAACAAGTATATATGAATTGTTCATCATAGACATTCTTGCAGCTTAACTCTCATCCAGGCAAGCCAGCAGTATGGTGAATAACCACTTCTCCAATAAACAAATGAAAGCCCACTTAAAAAAGGGCGCGTGGCAGTTTCTCTATGAGGAGTAAATGAAAAACCCATTACATCTGAGGAGATTGAAGGAATGGTATGAATGCATGAAATAAGCAAAACAGAAAAGTCTCCGCAAAAAATAAAACTAAATAAAAAAATTCTCCTGACATGTGTGTGACTTGCCCTTAAAGCCAGCAATTTCAACCTATATCTGTTATAGGCGGATAATAAAGGATTCAGTAGTTCACATTAGTTAATCTGTGAGTCCTCTGTGTTCTGTAAACCTTGGATGAATTTTTCAGCATCTGCTGGGGTTTCAAACTCACGTGTTTGTCCATCAGACGACACTCGTTGCTTAGTTGGGTAAATTAATCCGTAACGTATGTTCATCAATCTCAGCTGTTGTTTTATCCGGGCAAAACCCCTCCTTCGTCGGTGGAGATCCGTCGAAAGATCCGGGAAGAACCTGATCTCTTGACCACCGCAGATAACTTTACCTTTGGCCCTGGCTGCTCGCATCACTCGGACTTATCCTGGAAGTTTAAAAACTTCACTATGAGGACTCCCAGTATGGTTGATAGATTAGGTTGAGTCCGGCCGGGCAACCTGTGCGCTCTTTCGATGAGCGGTTGTTTCGGGAATGTCACTGGTCCCAGCGCTTCGGGGAGCCACTTCTCCAGGATTTCCTTCCATCTTCTCCGGCACGTTAACTAGTCGCAGGTTGGATCCACGAGAACGGTTTTCGAGCTCGT